TTTTCAAGTGCAAGTTTCAAGATGATCATTTAACTAACCTCTAACTTCTAATTCATTAACAATTAACTTTACTTTGTGTATTTTTACTTTATGCTTTTACTTTGTACTTTTACTTCATGCCCTTTATTTTATGTCTTTACTTTTATGCACCATTTACTTTAGCATTTACATTTCATGTTATTTTCATCTTTGCTCACTTGAGCATTTATCTTTATGTCCTTTTATCTTTGCTCACTTGAACATTTATCTTTATGTCATTTTTATTTTGCTCACTTAAGCTTTCTTTTCTTTTTGAAGATACTTAATAACCAACTTGAACATTAAAAAACTTTAAGGTTACTTGGACTATTTGGTTACCATCCTTGGCATTATGGAGTTATGGACCTCTTGTACTTAGGATTAGAAGCCTTGATTACCCTTGGGACCTTGTGACACTGTTGTTATTTTGTCTGGAGTTCTTGGGGTTTACCCCCAAGACATTGGGTTGATTTCCTTTGTGTGCATGTTATTCTGATTATTTGTTTTGTCTGTGATTGGGAATTCCTCTGTATATAGTTGTTACTCTGCCCAATTTTTTGAAGACTTAATTCATCTGAAGCTTGGTATTTCTACGAGGTTTAGTATTTTTGCTTGCTTGGTTTCAATCAAAATGATGGAAAATCTACATTGACTCTTTATGTCAAGTGTTGGCTTCTTGTTGATTAGATGATTCTTTTCCTTAGCTTTTACCTTATACTTTAGGATAGTTCCTCCATCTCCTCATATCTTCTTTAATTTCAAAATTTTCTCCCTCCTTTTTAAAAACTCTTCTTGTTTTCTAACTTGAACCAATTTCATAATAAACTTGGACTTAGGTCCATGTATTTTCAAAATCTTTTCTTAATCAAACTTTAACCAACTTAATCATACTTTGATATTTTTTGTGAGAAGACTAAAAGTCATTAATCTCATTCAAACCATTTTTCCACTTTGGCTTTTTACTATAAAAATTTTCTCAAAAAATTAGACTCTTGTTGATTCTTGTAGTAATGTGAGCTACTATACTTCTATGATATGTAATGAAGTAGATATTTTCCACTTGGGTGTTGAGTGAGGCTTTGTTGATTTTAAAATCCAAGTTATATCCCCCACTTTGATATGTTGTAAATTCTCCTTTCTCATGATCGTGGGTAGTAAGTATGCTTTTCACTCGGATATGACGATGATGTCTCTTCTCTTAAAATTAACCAACACACATGTGTTTTAAAATTTTCGAGGTGAACTACGAGTACCCTGATCCCCTATTACACGCAAGATGGTACGTAGGCACTAAAGGTTCGCAACTGCGACGGGTGCAAAAATAGTAAAAATACTTCTTTTCACATCTCCACCATCTATTTTTGTATACACCATTTATAGCCAAAATACACAAATTTTCAAAGAGGTTCATGTGGAGTACTGTAGATGTTTAGAGTGCTAACACCTTCCCTTTGCATAACCAACCCCCGTACCTAGATTATCTCCCCCCTTCTTTTGGGTTTATTCGATCTTTTCCCATTCCTCTGGAAACAATAAAGCGCGGTAGTGATTTTTATTTGATCTGTACGAGTTAAGTCAATCCAATGACTTAGTCTCAATATTTCTACCGTTACAATCTCCAGACAAAGATTCAGCCAACTCTTCATTTTTTTCTTTCAACTGAGGCGTTACCTTCATTTTGAGTTCCTGAGTTTTCATAAGCTTTGAGAGAAATTGTTTTTACTTTCTTTTAAGGTTTGTCTTCTAGGATGAGGCTTTCATGAGCATGAAGTGATCCAATGAGTTCTTCTACTTGAAGGACTTTTAAGTCCTTAGCTTGAGTAATGGTTGTTACCATTGGTCTCCATACTTTTGGTAGACTTCTCAAAATTTTCCTTATCCTCTCGTGGGTAGTGTAAGTTTTTCTAAGTGATCTTAGTTCATTTATGATGATGGTGAATCTGGCAAACATTTCATCAATAGTTTCATCTTCCTTTATTTTAAAAGTTTCAAATTTTCTTACCCCATATCAATTCTTTCTTCTTTTACATGGCTTGTTCCTTCATGGTGAATTTTGAGTTTATCCCATATTTATTTGGCTGTGGTGCACTCTTATATTCTATCATAATCTTCCCTTCTTAATGCACAGGATATGATAAATTGAGTTTTTCAATTTAGAAGTACATGATTGGTTTCTTCCGAGGTTCAACTTGCTTGAGGTTTTTCTATAGCTGGAGCATCTTCCGTTGGAGTGGTTTTTGGAATGTAATTTTATATTTCAACTATAGACCACATATTTATATCCTGAGACATGAGAAATAGTTTCATCTTATCCTTCTAGTAGTAGTAGTCAGATCCTCTGAAAATGGAGGTTTGTGAGTTGATCCTCCTTCAGGTATGAATTTGTTTGGACCAGACATCCTTTTGGTTTAGGATCATTTTTACTCTGCACGGTTAAGTGTTAGTTCAGAGCTTGAGCTCTGATACCAATTAAAGTAACTGTATTGTCACTAGGAAGGGGTTGTAAGTTTAAAATATTTAGTAATAAAAAGAATTGAGTAGACAAGGAATGTAAGTAACACACAATAAGTTTATCCTGATTCTCCAAAGTTAGTTAGTCTAGTCCTCACACACAGTGAGATTTTTCTTATTCTGCACAAACTATTCTTGTCAAGAATAATTTTGGTAACATTTTTTCAAGCCTCAAATGGCTTTACACTTACTAAAGATTCTTTCTTTAGATTTAGATTACACTTCCTTTTTCCAAGTATTTTTATATCACTTGAGGATATACAAATAATAATTTCAATAAAATTCAAAACACTATGTGGCAGTGATTTGTTTTGTATGAGGGATGTTTGATTTAAAGATCACAGTTTTAGATGTTTGCTTTCTTGTGATTAAATTGATTGATTCTTTCTTAAGATAGGATAACCTATTTATAATCTTTATTTGAAGTAGCCATTGAGAGGTAATGATGATTTCTTTGTACTTTTGTGATGAGATGTCCACAACGTATAACAAGGATGGAGCTTCAAGGCAAGTGACAACAAATAGCCATTAAATATTTTACGCAGAATACTATAGTACTCATCTCATACTCGCAGATGGAAAAAATCTTCGTACCTAAATACGTACCCGTTTGCGCACCAACTTTAACACATATACTCATGCCCTGTGGATATGTTAGAACCCGTACCCGTTACTTTAGAACCCGTACCCGTTACCTGCATTTCTAATAAAAATAAATAGATCAATTATAAAATATTATATCATTTTAAATTTTTAAGAACGTTAAAAAAATTTAAAAAAAATATTTTATTAAATTATGAAATAAACAAATACAATATTAAATACGTAATAGTTTAACATTCAAATATTTTTTTAAATTGATAGACATACATTTTTTTATAAAATAAGATAAATTAGAATATATAAATATATATAATATATAGGTATATAATAGATTGAGTACTAAAATGTCCATATCCACTTATTTTAGTGGATAATTATCTGAGATCGTATTTATTTTTGTGGGTTTTTTCCTATTCATTGAAGGTATTTTGCAGGTGTCCAATGAGAATGAGTTAAATTGCCATCTCTATGGATGACTATCTATATTTATTTTTTTCATTTTAGAAACTTATTTAAACTTATGTTAAATTCATAGATTAAATATAATCATATTATAATTTATGTTAGTGTAGTTTCTTTAACAAAACTCTTATTTTTAAAAAAAATATTTATATATTTAATTTAATTTATTTTTATTAAATCATATTAGTGCATAATTCTTTAATAAACATTTATTACATTAATTTTGTTTAAGATATAATAACATTTTGCAATAACCCAAAAATATTTTTATATAAAATAAATTCAATGGAAAGTAACTCTACGAAAATATACTGCCAGATTTATCCAAAAGTATGTTTTTTGAATTTTTTTTTTTACAAAATGAAGATATAACTCACTTATACATAAATTTGATATACTTGAACTACATCCGAAAATACATTTTTTTAAGAGTGTTTTTTATTTTTCAGTATAGTTGAAAGCATTACTTATGGTTGAAAAGCAATATTCAAATTTCAAAAATGAGCGAGCCTCAAAATAACTCTGAAGGCCTCAACTTTTTCCATCAAAATTCTTTAATTAAAAAATATATATATTTAAAAGAAAATATAAGTTTTTTTTTGTTCAGAAGAAAAATAAATTTTAAAAAAAAATTTATACTTTATTGTCAGAATAAAATAAAATAAATAGATTCTTAGAAAAAATAAATAAAAATAAACTTTTTTGATACTTCCTAAAATTTTCACCAATTATTTTTCTTTTAAATACTTTCAAATTTAATTATCAAATAAAATATTTTTTAATAAGTTTTTGATTAAAAAGTATTTTTAGATTATGTTTTAAAAATAAAATATTTTCATAAAAAATATAAATTTTGAAAAAAAATAAACTAAATTTTTTTTTTCAAACAATTTTTTTAAAGAAACAAGACCCTTAAATCCCCTAAACTACACCCTAAAAAATTATAATGGAACTTTGTCATGTAAATTCCATGCTCAAACAATAAGATTGTCAAATCCAATACAAGTCCCCACACCAGATTCATTACTCACCTGCACATGAAAATTGGCAACAAAATATGGCATTCCAGAGTATGATTCTTTTAAGAAACAAAAACAGAAACAATTAGAACATACATTTCAATAAACATTACCTGCATGTTGAATGTGCATAAGCAAAACAAATAGATTCACCAAATGGGAGTGATTCTCATAAACTGATAACGATGACAGCCAACCGATATTTTTTCTGAAGTGCAAATTATTTCGCAGAAATTTTAAACCAGCTGAGTAAACTATTTTAATGCGGAAGGAACTTAGATATTTGAGAAAAAAAGTTAAAAAGAGAAGAAAAAAAAACACCATAGGTGTTGTATGAGAGTCAAAACTAGGAGAGTCATAAAAAAACAAACTAGTAATCCACTCATTTCAGAAATCTAACCATTTCTGATAATAGACACATGTTGCTGGAGAGATAGTGCCATCTGGTGAACAAAAGCTCATTCTTTGACAAGAAAAACATGGAAAGGAAGTCATGTCAGCAGTCTTCTTTTCCCCTCTAACTCCGCCTTTGCTTTTGCTTATGTAACAGGTTTTACCAACAGTAATAGATGAAAACTCGCCATATCCAGTACTTATCATCTGCGTGATCTCATCATCCAAAACCAAAGTTTGCAAAATCTCTTCCATTTGTTTTGTTGTGACTTCAGTATTAAAGACCCCGCTCCTTTTAATCCACTCCACACATCCATCACATGTGGAAACTTTCTGCATGAAAATGCATTTCAAGCACACGTCTTTTAGACTGTTAATATAATCGACATCAAGTTTCCCATCACTATAAAAATGACCACCAGTGATTTCCTCGGAAGGCATAAATTCTTTTGCCATGTAGTGCTTTCTACCTTTGTTTTGAATAGTAGTAACTTCCTTTATCATATTCTTGGCGATAAGTGACTTCAGGGATTTATTGACCACAGTAGTAGGAAGGTTTGTTTCTCTTTTCATATCTCCGGTCCATATCCCTATGTTTTCCCTGCTCCGTATTAGGTTAAAGAGTAAACGCTCTTCATCTGTCAACACCGGCTCCGACACTTTTTGTCGCTTCCGTTGAGGTAAACCAGATTCTTGCAGACGATTCATTCCTTACAAGAGAAAAATATCAGAGTATAAATTAAAGTGTTAAAAAAAAATTATAATAGAGAATCATTATACCTATCCATCTAAAGTTTTTGAACATGAAAAAGAGGAAATATGTCTATGACTGACTATGACAATTCCAAACACATCTAGCAGCAGAATCAAAATTCCAAACACATATCTAGCTTCCATTTCCCTTATCTTGAATGTGAATGTCCAATGCAATCCAAAATCCCCTTATCGTTTTGTTTGCATAGGAGAGGCACGTCAGATTTTGTCAAAATTAAACAACATAACTAACCCTTTCACTAAAAATGTGCATATATAGATGAAAACTACACAAAGAAGCAATACATATGCAAAGAACTGCCATGAATCAAAATTAGAAAACAGAAAAATGAACAGTTAATGTAAATGAATATTCAACCTCTGAAAATTTTCCAATTGCCATGAAATTTAAACCCTAAACATGAAGGAGAGTGGAAGCTAAAACGGATAAATAAAAATCGAATAAAGGAAAAAGAATGAGTTTCTCAAAGAGGCAGTTGATATTTATTTATTTATTTGTCCAGGAGATTCCATCTCTTCCAACTGTAGGCAGTTGATAAATATTTCAGTTCTGTAACATGACAGTTCAAGGTGGAGTTTGAGCAAATAGATTTACATTTGCTTGTCTTCTAAAGTTTGCGAATACGCAGACTCCCACAGATAATCACGACAGTGCATAAACACTTAGGCCCAAATTAACTTAAATCGTGTGATAGATACAAGCTCTGACCTGAATTGTATATTTTATACTAATACCTTTAGAAATCATGTATTCTGCAAACATAACTTTGTTGGTAATTAAATGACCTAGTACGTACGCCTGATTACATGAAAAATGTAATCGGTTAAGTACCATATTAGGAGAATAGAGGCCCTAGACTCGAATTATATTTCACAATATAAGTATGTAGCAAATACAATCTAGAGCATAAGTAGACAATGAAAACTAAAACAAATCTAAAAATCATAACACAATGAAAAAAGAAGATACAAAAGTCATTGAGGTTGAGTGAGCAATAATGAAAACATAACACATTGTTGTGACAGTCGGAGAAGTAGAAATTGTGGCTGACGGCGTTGAAACGAATCCTAAAATCGAAAAATCAAAGTTTCATAGACAACCAAAATTCATTATGGTTTTTTGATGAAAACCCCTAAAAATAAAAAAATCAGAACAAAAAGGATTAAGAATACAAACCTGAAATTAGTGTCTTGCAATCTTATTATGCCTCCAATATGGTTTATATGTCTCTTATTTCCAGATCCTTTCTTCTGCGACGATTGACGGTTGCCGGCGAGTTAAGATGAGTGCCAATTTCACAAACAACAAAGAGGCAGCGGAATCACAAGAACAAAGAGGCTGTCGAATGATGGGCCGCTTCACAACTATATGGATTGGGCTTTCAAAATCCTATCACATTATTCAAACTAAAACTATTTTGATTCATTTTCACAACTTTCTAACTAACTCTTTCCGTGTAAAAAAAATATTATTTTAATCAATAATTTCATATTCCCGTGTATAAATATTATTTTTGTTTAGGTATCGTTATCAAAAATGTTTGGATTAATAGTAAATTTTCGTATATGAAAATATTAAAATTAATAATAAATTTTTTTCGTATATCATTTATTGAATAAAAAACAAGTAATAAACTTGTGCATACGCACGGGATTCTAATACGGTACGCGCATTTGTTTCAAATGATTTTTTTATAGAAAAAAAAAAAGGTGTTCAAAGTAAAAATAAGATTTGTCATTAATAAAACTTAAATTCTTTATGAACTAAAAAACATGTTCAAAGTAAAAATAAGATTTATCAAGCTAAGTACGAGTTCAGTGCATCATTTTCAAGCAAGTTCAAAGGGCATGGTACTGGTTCATAAAAAAGGAAAAAGTATAAAAAAATCATGAGCAATACATCAAACATGCCAATATTTCGCAAAGCCTAAGATATATGCAAATAGACAGACAAATGTTGATAGTAACAAACAATTCTTTGGAGCATGTACGGCACATATAATCATTCTTGCTCTCTTTAAAAAGTAATATGTTTCTCCATTGCCTCATTTTTCCAAAACCTGTGATAGAGATAATAATGATATGATAATATATGTATGGTTTTATTCTAATTATTGTGGGAGTGAGAATAGACAGTAAAGGTAAAAGTTTGGCTAGTATAACATTAATTGAATAAGCTATTTAAAGATTTAAAATCTAAAATTCAAAGGTTTTATTCAATAAGGATTCCAGTTCCTCAATAAATAAGGTGAAACATTACCTTCATGATATTATGATCATTTCATGTACCCTTGTTAGTCCTAAGACATCCACCATCGCGGGAGATGAAAGCACAAAATACAATGCAGTCTCACCAACATTTGCACTTATATAAATCACGGCACACTGAACCAATTGTTCCCACCTGAACCATCTCAGAGGAGCACCAGCTTCTCCCTCAGTCGTTTCAATCTCACTCCTGCAAATAAGTGATTAGTAAAGCAAGAAAGCACCGACAGTGTTTTACACATATGTCGCGTACTAAAGAACAATACATCGACAATATTCAACTATCATACTACACTGTCTCGACAACTTGGTCGGACGGGCCGACCTGTTCTGATACCACTAATGTAACACCCTATTTCCCCGTCGATAGTCTAACAAAAAATCAGAGTAAATTAATTCATAAAATAAAAATATCAAAAATAGGATGTCACGTATTCGTACATACACATATGTTCATATAATAAGATACGCAACACATAATCACATGTTCAACAAGTCTAAACTTCATTTCAATTATTTACAGCGGAAAAACATCAACAACAGTTATTCTTAACTATTTAACATGAGTTATAATTATCATAATTCAAACTTCAACATGCATCATCAAATAAATCCAACAAAATGGAGTTCTACAATAGTTTACTCCCATCATAATAAAACAAACGCAAAACTCCAAAGTGTTACATATCAGAGCTGACACCGACTCAATCTACACAAAATGAGGCACTTCTCAATGAGAATCTACCTCGATCTACTTTAGATCATATGCACGTTATCTACATAGAGGCAACATTCAAACAGAAGGGGTGAGATATCACAACAATATAATAAGTTATATAATCATAGGTATACGACAGATATATCACGCAAGATTCCAAGCTCAGTAATCATCAATTATAATTCATAATGATTATATAAGTAAATACATATTTATCAGCATCCATCATATAACACATACCAATTATGCAACTCAACTTCATGGTTATATCAACAATTCAATCAAATGTAATGCAACTAATGCTGATGCAAGATGCATGTGGTACCAATAGGGCAGAAACCTCATCGTGATAATGCAAACTTAGGGCAACAACATCATAACGCCAATACAAGCCATCGTTCACCAATATAGCCCATTGTTCACCAATACAAGCCATTTTCGTCAATACAAGCCATCGTTCATGAATGCATGCGACACTGACATGCAACAATGCAATTTACATTGATTATTCTTACTCATCAATGCCACACCAATACAGGCCATCACCATCATCATTATCATGCAAAATAATTGAATTATCCATACAACATCATCTTACTCAATCGCATCAATATGCATCACACTTCATATAACATTAACACACAAGGCATAAGCCTTCACCAAAATAATCATCATAAGATAAAAAAATATCAAATCACATCAACATCAAAATCCTCATGATTAATTCCACAACAACAATAATTCATCATTAAAAATAGGACATTCCCAGTTAATTTACTATACAAAGTATTTGCATACATTTCACAAAACGACATAACTCGATAGTATGAAACATTCGTCCATGCATCAAATAGTTGGAATTTTGGTACACATTTTTAAGATAAATTATATTAAACCATTGTTCCAACGATCCAAACTACGCGTCAATCGGATACCCGAAACTCAAGTTATGAATTTTTGAAGTTTTACAAAATTTACCAACACCAACAACCTACAACAACAGACACTGACACCACAAAACATCTTTACACACCCCATTAAGTTTATTTCCATAACTTGAAACCATTTTTACAAGAAAGTATATTGTATTTCCTTTCCAACGATTCAAACGGCACCCAAAACGGACTCACGGTTTGAAAGTTATGAACTTTTGAAAATTTCTTTTTTTTTTCAATTTACTCTCAGGGTAATCGATTACCCAATATGTGGTACCTTGGTACACCCAGTAAAAATGCCCAAAAATGTTGTTTTCCACGCGGTAATTGATTACTTATATACTGTAACTGATTCCCCCTTGTACTAGAGTAAAAAAAACTAGATTTTTATGTTACGAAAATCATCATTTTCCAACCCAAAACCCAAATTTTTCTACATCAAAATACATAATCTGATTTATCATATTGTCATACTACATCTACTACATTCTAACTCAACTCACCTAATCAATTATGCATAATTTCAACGGATTAAATCAAAAACAATCTACACCCAAAACCTAACATTCAATATCATCATCTACCCTCAATTATACCATCTACTAGAGAGTCAGAACCCCACGCTTACCTTAGGTTGTAGATTCCTCAAGCTTCAACAACAGTTCCTCTCTTCTTAGATCTTCCTCTTTCTCGCTTATGTTGTTCTCTCGTTTTTATGATCGATCAAAATAAGAATGCTCTTCTATTCCTCTTGTTTTTACTTGTCTAGCCTTTGGACTCCTAAATCACAAATCCTAACCTTACCCTCACTTGTTTAACACAGTGTTACCATCTCTCCCTTCTTGTCTTACACTTGCAAGAACGTATCCTTCATCTTCATCTCTTTCTTTCTTTTACCCATTTAACATGTCTCAAAAATATGTGTCTAATGCTAGCTACAAGAATCATTCATTGAGGAACGAATGCCATTACGGCCTCGATGCTCCGTTGATGACGGTGTGAACTGATTCAAA